GATTCTTGAAAGCTTACTAATTGAAAGTTGTAGAGCTTATCGAGACGCATCTAACGGTAGTTAGATTATCCAAATCGGCCTGGTGGATGGCGAGATATCATTGAAAAATGATTGGCTGACTATATATAAAATCTCTATGTAAACAAACATTGTTAACATAGAGATTTTATATAATCAGCCAATCATTTTTCAATGATATCTCGCTATCCACCAAACCGATTTGGATGATCTAACCACTGTTAGATGCATTTCGATGAGCTCTACAACTTTCAATTAGTAAACATATATCATTACTTAGTAAGAAAAAAAGTTTTAGATTGAAGCTCGCCACATTTCGCCGATAGTGATTTTCATATGTAATTTCTGTCACAGATTTTTATATAGTCAACCAATCATTCATCAATAATATCTCACTATCCACTAGGCCAATTTGGATGATCTAACCACTGTTAGATACGTCTCGACAAGCTCTACAATATTTAATTAGTAGGCATGTATCATTAACTTAGTAAGAAAAAAAGTTTTAGATGGAAGATGTTATATTTTATCTATTTTTCAGTTGATAGGCAGATTATCAATTAATAAAAATTTTATTAATTAAATATTAATATAATTTTTTTAATGGCTATTTTTTATATAATAATAAATTTATTTACTCTTTTAGAAGTTGGTGGCCTTTCTCGCTTTCTACTTCTTTCTTGTGACTACAAAAAAGTTAATATAAAATATAAAATAAAGAATATAAAAAATAATTTATACTTCAATATTCTTTTTTACATCTTCTTCTGTTTCAGATCTCTTATGACCTCTACTATATGACTGCAAATCGATTAATATAAATATACTATAATATATTAATATATAAAATATTAATTCATACTTCTTCAGCATGTTTGAAACTTTGCAGCCTTATAAGATTTTTTTTCTTCTCAACTATTATAGATTAATATAAAATTATATAAAATTTAAATAAATTAATTAATATAAAATTTTAAATAAAAATAAATAAAAAGTTATACTTCATAATAAATTAATTAATATAAAATTTTATTACTACTTGAAAATGGCAAATAATTTTTTATTACACTCATATACTTATATACTCAATTACTTTTGCATATTGATTAAGTTTGATATTTAATTATTTAATTATAGTTTTATAGTAATCAAGTATATGAATATATAAGCATTTGAATATACACTATAAAAAAATTATTTTTATACGTTTCGAAAATAGTAATAAAAATAAAAATAAATAAAAAAATAATACTTTATTATCTTTTTTACTTTCTTCTTCATCAGAGCTAGTTTTTTTACCAGATTTAGCAAAATGAAAAGGAAGTTTTTTCTTTAATTTAATTAATTAAATTTAAAATTTTTTGAATAAATTTAATATATTACTTATATATTTATTCTATTTTTATATTATTAATAAAACAATAATTTATATTTATATATAATTACTATATATTAACTAATAGATTAATTATTTTATTATTGTTTTTATTTTTTTTGAATTATTTAAATAATTTAAAAATATTGATATCAAATTTTAAATAAAATTACTTACTAAATTTTTTATAAGTTATTTTTAACAATATTCTCAAACATTATTAATTTTTTATAATGTATACTTAGCATAATTTGGTATATAGTAATTGTATATGTTACTTTTATATTTGATGGTGAAGAATTTGGCTAAACTTTCAAAAGTATTTGAGTCATGTAGGTTATTTTCAGAATATTTGGATGTTTTTGTCTTATCAAAAGCTTTTTGTACTGTAACTTCCGCAGGTATTGCATTGCTATTAATAGATTCTAATTGACTTTCTAAATAATGCAAATATAGTATCTTTAATATGTATAGTTAAAGCATTTCAAAGTGATCTATAATGTTTTAATAACTTTTATTTATATTATTATATAAATTATTATAAAATAATTTAGAATTTTTATATATTTTAATTTATTTGAGTCAATTCAAAATATTTTAATAAAAATTAGAAAAATTAACACTTACCAGGCTAGCTATATATATTTTATAATATGTATTCCACTTTTTATTTGACATATTTAAAAAGTATTCATTATTATATACCTTTAAATATCTTTTAACTGCTTCTTTAAACTCTGATTCACTAGAATAAATCGTATATTTAATTAAATCTTTAGCTG